GCTCACTAAGTCTACGATCTGTTCACGAATATTTTCGCGTGTCTCCAATACTTCTTGATGTGTGTCTTGGGCACCTCATCCCAACCATCGCAAGCCCACTCAAGTAGTGATGAAAAAAAAAACTTTGTCAACATTATTTAACTATAAGTTGATTAACCAAGAGGTTGAAAACCTCAGTTTAAAAATAGAAGTTTTCTCAACCAACCCCGTGGCATGAAGGGGTATTGGAGTTACTCTAAGTATTCTACCAGCTCATTTTCTGGGACCATGCCACTTTCGGGATATTCCTGTAAGCGTGCGATATCGGGCCACGAAGTGGATGCCGCAGCTAGAGTAGTGTATATGTATGCCAGTTTCTCGACCTTGTCCTTCGTCATTCTATTTTGTTTCCTGCTGTGGATGCAGTCGAGTACGCTCCAAGTAAGTTTACTGGCAACTGACGATGTTAGCACGGCTAATACAAGTCTTGCAAGCTCATACAGCTTTGGAAACTTTCTTTATATGCTTCCTCATTAGCATCCCACTAATGACTCGGTGCAGCGGCTGCGTATTGTTCTATCTCGTGTGGCGGCCAACCCCTCTTCAAACTCCCAAATGCGTATAAACCCGCCGTAACGGCTGCCTCTGATGTATCTCCAAGCAGGTTAGCACACTTCACAGCAGCATCCACACTATTATTTATGTCATTGTCCATAAAATCGTTCGTATTTATGTATTCATCGCAGGATCCAGCAAAAAAGTGATTTTGATCGCGTCTGTGCCAAAAACGTTCCATCGCTCAGTAATGCGAGATTTAATCGGCGTCTGAAGGCCTATGGGAAGCGCTCGATTTAGTCTTTCGTAGACATCAATTGTTTGTAGTCGACGAAATAGCGAATAAATTCTTGATATGGCACATGTAATGAGTTTAAACTCTCTCAATCCTCCACTATACGGTCAATCAGCTTTACAGCATGCTCCAGATTCTGCCAGAACTCGACGTCCTCGATAATATCCTTCACCTTCTCGAGCGCTTCCCTATTCGAAGCAGTCACCATATAGCGTGTAAGCAATTCTGCGCCCTCCTCCTCGCAGGACCACTTCTTGATAATTGTCATAAAGCTCAACGCACTTCTCATGCACGGTGTACCGTGTACCAGCGTGTCTCGAATCGGAATCACTATTGCGCGGCAATGATCGCGGCTTGGAAGGGTTGTAGTTTGGTGTACAGATCGGAACTGATCCAAAGCCTCATCATGAGCTTAAATAATCTCTGATTGCAGGGTTTAAAATTCATCTAGCAGTGTGTGATGATCCCGCACAAACTTTGCGATTGATACACACTGTTCTCGGGCGACTTTGAATAAAATGAAGCTTAAACATATCTTGGATGAAAAGGATAACCGTGTGTGCAGCGCAACCACCAGCGAAAAGAGGCAGCATTGCTTTTAAGTGCCCCCACGCGTTGACCATGTTGTGCAGAATTTTGATGCAGTAGCTCCTTTTGTCTGTTATCACAGGCTGCACCACCCTGTGGACAGTTCACACACTATGCAGTCGCGCTAGTGCTTACCGAAGACTTGAACCATCCGTGGCCGTCGCTCACGCGTCTTGGCACACAGGTAATGATATAATAGTCCACAGCATAACAAGTTTGACGGTGATTCACAAGTTGGCTCGTCACAGCAAACCCACTTGACCTTAAACTTCGCCTACA